TAGTTGTTGTTGCAGGGGTCGAGTCCTAACTCCTGGCCCCGCCTCTTCACTGGTCGCTACTAGGTCACTCTCCCTGAGCCGTGAGTTTTATCATACCTCTGCTTAAAGCTATGTATGGATCCTGCCTCCACTACATCGCTTCACAAACTATTCCACTTCCTGACTACCCTGTGACTGAAGACATTCTTCCTAACATCCCTGTGATTCACCTGAGTCTTCAACTTCCAACTGTGTCCCATCTCTGGTACATTCTCTGTCCATCTTGTCAATTCCTCTCAGTATTTTATATGTCATTATCATGTTCCCCCTATCTCTCCTGTCCTCCAATGTCGTCAGGTCGATTTCCCTTAACCTCTCCTGGTAGGACATACCCCTTAACTCTGGGACTAGTCTTGTTGCAAACCTTTGCACTTTTTCTAGTTTCTTTACGTGCTTGGCTAGGTGTGGGTTCCAAACTGGTGCCACATGCTGTGTGTGTGTGTGTGTGTGTGTGTGTGTGTGTGTGTGTGTGTGTGTGTTGTGTGTGTTGTGTTGTATGTGTGTTGTGTTGTATGTGTGTTGTATGTGTGTTGTGTTTGTGTGATGTGTGTTGTATGTGTGTTGTGTTTGTATGTGTGTTGTGTTGTATGTGTGTTGTGTTGTATGTGTGTTGTGTTGTGTGTTGTGTTGTATGTGTGTTGTGTTGTATGTGTGTTGTTGTATGTGTGTGTTTGTATGTGTGTGTTTTGTATGTGTGTTGTATGTGTGTTGTGTTGTATGTGTGTTGTGTTGTATGTGTGTTGTGTTGTATGTGTGTTGTGTTGTATGTGTGTTGTGTTGTATGTGTGTTGTGTTGTATGTGTGTGTGTGTTTGTATGTGTGTTGTGTGTGTGTTGTGTTGTGTGTGTGTTGTGTTGTATGTGTGTTGTGTTGTATGTGTGTTGTGTTGTATGTGTGTTGTGTTTATATGTGTGTTGTGTTGTATGTGTGTTGTGTTGTATGTGTGTTGTGTTGTATGTGTGTTGTGTTGTATGTGTGTTGTGTTTGTATGTGTGTTGTGTTGTATGTGTGTTGTGTTGTATGTGTGTTGTGTTGTATGTGTGTTGTGTTGTATGTTGTGTTGTTTTGTATGTGTGTTGTGTTGTATGTGTGTTTGTGTTTGTGTGTGTTGTGTTGTATGTGTGTTGTGTTGTATGTGTGTTGTGTTGTATGTGTGTTGTGTTGTATGTGTGTTGTGTTGTATGTGTGTTGTGTGTGTTGTGTGTGTTGTGTGTGTTAGTGAATGTAAGCGGGTGTATGTGCAGGTTATTTTCACAGTAAGGTGTGTCTTAGTAAAGCAGAGTATACATTATAAAGGTGGTATGTAGAGTGTGGCCTTGGTCCACACTAACTAATGTATGAACATGTCTACCCTCGCTGCACTAGGTAACGCTCACTTTTACTCTCAATACACATTAATACAAATTACTCTAAATCTCTACAAGAAGAATAAATATATAACCACAAACACGCTTGTGGGGTTATGCAAAGAACGTATGTAACATAAAAATAACTAAATACTTCAGAAATTAATTTAATAAATATGACCGATGGCTGAAGGCATTTAATGATGACAAATTAAAGGCCCACCTTTTGACAACCTGTTGTTGGTTCCTGGGCTCATTCCGCGGTCTAGTCCTGGGACAGCCGCCTGGTTGCTTGTATGATCAGTCTTATGAAGAGAGAATACCTGAGACGGAGTATAGTGAGGGAGAGGATCAACAAACATTGATAAAAGAAAAGAGCTCGTAGTTGTGTAATGGGCTTACGAGGTTTTAAGGCTAATGACTACACGAGGGTCATTAAAGCAGCATGTTACCTGTACAACTCAAGTCTAGAACACTAACAGAAATCAAGGTAAATTCTAAGCGCATACATACTGAGATACACATCCCTCGAAGTGAGTATATACTGTTCTTCTCAGTGCATATACACCAGGAAAGACAAAGCTCTCAGAATATATTAAAACTGAAGAGGGAGTGAAGATAGCACATGAAGTGTATAACTAGACAGAGCAGCTTTCAGGGACCTTATTACAGAACTGGTGAGGCTTGAATCCATGGCAAGTGTCAGAAAACCCACAGTCCAGTGCGTTAACCACTTGGCCGCTGGCCGAGTGGTTAACGCCCTGGCCTGAGTTTTAGGATTCGCCTGTCATCGTTCAAGCCTCACCCGTTCTGTGATTTATTTGGAATCGCGTTGTTGTGATTTAGGGATTAATGAACTCGTTCAGGGGCATTGACAAGGAATCTTTCAGAGGTACACAAGACACAGACGAGACCGCCATGAAGTACACACACCACCATGACCCATCATGAAGTACACACCACCATGACCCATCATGAAGTACACACACCACCATGACCCATCATGAAGTACACACCACCACCATGACCCACCATGAAGTACACACTACCACCATGACCCACCATGAAGTACACACCACCACCATGACCCACCATGAAGTACACACACCACCATGACCCATCATGAAGTACACACCACCACCATGACCCACCATGAAGTACACACCACCACCATGACCCACCATGAAGTACACATGAGGGAAGGTAAATAAAGCAGGGATAGAGGGAAGGTAAATACAGCAGGGATACCTTACCTTTGATATACCTTTGAAGAGTTTCGAGAGTTTATCTACTCTCTGAGCCCGGCCATGGGCCAGGCTCGTCTGGTGCTTGCCTGGTCAACCAGGCTGTTGCTGCTGGTGGCCCACTGTCCCACATATCCATCACAACCTGGTTGATCTGGCACCTGGTGAAAATACTTGTCCAGTTTCCTCTTGAAGGCTTCTACACTTGTTCCAGCCATGTTTGTGATATCTTCTGGTAAGATGTTGAATAGTCTGGGACCCCGGATGTTGATACAGTTCCCTTAGGTAAATAAAGCAGGGATAGAAGGTAAATAAAGCAGGGATAGAGGAAGGGTAAATCAAGCAGGGATAGAGAGAAGGTAAATAAAGCAGGGATAGAAGGTAAATAAAGCAGGGATAGAGGAAGGGTAAATCAAGCAGGGATAGAGAGAAGGTAAATAAAGCAGGGATAGAAGGAAGATAAATAAAGCAAGGATAGAGGGAAGGGGGTTTCGGATAGTGGTAAAACATGAAGAG